GAGAGTAGAAGTGGCAAAAAATAAAAAATAAAAAATAAAAAAAAATAAATAAATAAAAATAAAAATAAAAATTGAACTACAAGTTTACTTGGATGATGATGTCTTAGAGGATTCTGAGGATCTTGATGTGTTGAAGTGGTGGGAAATTAGTTCACGACGATTTCCCATTCTTTCGCTATTGGCATGTGATATTTTAGGAGTTCCAATCTCAACCGTGGCTTCAGAATCTACATTTAGTACCGGTGGAAGGGTTCTTACTGTATTTAAGTGTTCATTGACTCAAAGATTGTTGAAGCATAGATATGTGCACAAGATTGGCTTCGAGATTCAAGTAAGTCTTTAAGTGTCGAAGAACTACTAGATGGGAATGAAATTTTTTAAAAGGTTATATAATTCAATTTATTTATTTATTTTTTGAATCTTGACTTTTGATATCGTAATAAATTTTTTGCATTCTACTTTTTGTTGTAGAGTTACCAAATGTGGGTATCGGACCATCATTACTAAACAAAAACGACTAAGTTTGTTGTTGCTGTCTGTTGTGATGTGATCTGTTGTGATGTGATCTGATGTTGCATGTTGCGCTGTCGCTGCTGCCCAACTATCTATAATTGCTGCTGCTCAACTTGCTGCTGCTCAACTGACTGCTTAACTGACGAAAAGGACACTTGGTCTTCACGCTCGCGATAAGCAACTGTAGGACCTTATATGTAGGTCGTTGCCACATACTAAGGCAAAACTAACTCTTATGCACTTCTAAGGTTGGAGCTTAACTCACAATTGCAATAGAGTCCTTGCTACTAACTGGGGTTCGACACACTTGGTTATAATGAAACATATCTCTAGGACAAAGCCCCCTTAGGGAAGAATTATTCTAACCCCATCTGAAATTTCCACTTAACTCAAAGTTGTTCTAAGGTTCTTAATTCACTTAACAAGTTGTTCTAAGGTTCTTAATTCACTTAACTCAAATTTGTACTAAAATTCTTATCTCATCTTAACTAGCGTTCGGTTCACTAAGCTAGAAAGGACTTACTCGCTAGGTAATTGCCCATAGTCGGGCAGACTCTATATACACACCTCGGTCAGTATATTGCAATTATAGAAAATGCAGTACCAAGTACAGGGTCCCCACCTGATATGCTGAAGTGCAAGTGCTGAATGGTTTGCAACTGTCGGATGCTCGACTCTCCACAAGCTGCAAATATATAAGAACAAAATGTATTCTAGGTACTTAGCTTAAACTGAAAAACTGAATTTTATTATCTTATCTGACTAGGTAAGCTCACTCGGTTTTAAAATCATTTTAGGGATTTACGAGCTAATTTTGGAAATTTATTGTCTTTGAGGCATACTAGAGTTCTCTAAAATATTTTAAAGTCTAGAATTATATTCTGATCGGCTCTCAATCTGACTAATTCGGAAGAATACTGAAACCCTCGGTTCACACTCAGACCGATGTTCCGAACTGAAACTCCCGAATTGTCTGGACTTCCTGGATTGATTCGACTAAACTGAAATTAAATCTGACTGAAAATTTATCCGAAATATATCTGGATTTTAAATCTATCTGAAATTTCTATTTGGAATATATATATCTGAAATTTCTCGAACCGTCCGGATTGCCCGGACTCAACTGGACAGACAACTTACTCGAAGTCGATCGATTATTCGCTTGACTATGTGCAGCTCGGTTTAACTGTGGTGCGGGTTCGACGTGGCAACTCAGGGCCAGCACGAACTCGACTAACACAACTTAGCCGATGCACGGGTTTGAAACTGTCGACGGTCACTGACGCAAGGGCGTGTTTGGGCCATGGCTAACAAAAATGACGCGTAGACGGTAGATCAGATGGACTCGATGCACGGGCACGCACTCAGAGGTTTGACTCGAACTCGGCACACGGGCACGCACTCGGCAGTTCGGCTCCAACGGTCAGACAAGAGTCGAACACGTGTGTGGGATGACGATACACTTTACGAATTAATGCTACGGCGTCTAAGTTTATTTACACGGTACAAGGGTTCGATCCATTAAACTCGGATCCAAAAATTACGCGGCTATCGGAACCGGATAAAACTAGAGTGTCTAATTCTCGAAAATTCTAACTCATTTTATGTCGATATTTAAATCACCAATTTCTATGTGATTTATAATGAACTTATAATCAACAACTGCAACTAAAATCATATCCGACTAATTTTTTATATTTATCGGGAAATGGGGCAAATGTCTCGATTTTAATCTATGTCAAACAGTATCGAAAATTATGAAATTCGAAACACAACTTCCTCAACGTACACAAGATACATGGTCAAAAGGTCACGACCAAATTCAACTCTCAACTCATTCAGCTAGAATCGACATCAACCGGTCAAATACACATAAAATTGGTTCGCCTATCAAGGAACCCCAAAATTTCCAAATTCACACCTAAACCTCAAGACATCGAAACGAATTTTATAAACTTTATTTCATCATTTTATCGCATTTTTGTAAAAAAAAAAAAATCCACTTCAAGCTCGAGATTCCCAATAAATCAAATATCGCTCAAATCCTCAAATTCACATTTTTATATCATCTTAATAATCATATCTAAGCTCATGGAGAATGGTTCAAACCATGTTACCTAAAATCAGGCTCGAATCGAAGAATCGAAAGACGGTCGGGAAAGTGAAAATGCTCGGATGATGTGAATCGAACCCGGGGCTGCTCAAGCAGGTCGGTTCTTGGCTGTTGGTCGCGGTTCGCCGGGTCAGGACTAGTGAACCGGTCTGTTCGAGGCTGAATCGCTGGGACTCGGACTGAGTCGAGTCGGTCAGGCCTGAGTCGGGACGAGTCTGGAGCGGTGGACCGAGTTTGGTGCTGTGGACCACAGGGACGGGTCGTCGAGCTCGATTCTGTGGCTAAACGCGTGAACCTGGTCGTGAAGAGCTGGAAATCGAGCTCGTCGGCGCGGGATTGATGGAAACTCGCCGGCACGGCTCAAGCTGAGTTGTGTTCGTACGGAAACGGGTTGTGACTCGCGATGGTGAGGGTCGAATCTGCGACGGCTGGACGTATCTGCAACGACGGGGAAGGAGGTCGCCGGCGTGTTCGAGCTTGTCGTGGTGGTTTGGTCACAGGCTCGCCGGCGGAAAGGAGCTAAGCTGCGACGGCGCTGTGTTCGTGGCTCTGCGCGTGTTCTTGTCGGCAGGAGGCGCGGGGACTCGAGTTTCGCTGGAAATGGGAGCTCGCCGGAGCTGGGAAGGTGGTGGCGGGCTGGAGGACTCGCGTGAAGGGGTTAACGGAGGCTTTGCGAGCTCGGCTGGTGGATGGCGAGTTGAGCTCGCGTGAACGGGTGGTTGTCGGCTTGAAGGTTGCCGGAGCTCGGGGTTCGTCGGATAACGGGCACTTGGCCGGATTTTTGTGCTATGGTGGCTAGGGTTTGAGAAATGTTGATGAAAATGGTGGAAAGTGATGTAATATATATATATATATATATATATATATATATATAGTGGATAGGAGATTAGGGTTTGTCTTACTTGTTGGGCTTAAAATCAGGCCTTATGATTTAATACAATCGGGCTATAAAATCTTAAAACCGGACTAATAATTTAATTCGACTTGGGCTCGATTAAATCAAATATAGCCTAAAGAATCAAATGCTCGGCTAAGAAAATTAATAAGAACTCAGACTAAATAAATTAGTCGGTCAAATTTACTAAAATAATTGGATTTGAATTTATAAATCGACTATTGCTTGTTTTTTAAAATGGACTAAAATAAAATCAAACATAGGCTTGATTTACTAAAATGAAATGGGTCGGAATAAAACCGAACATAGGCTCGATTAACTTAAATGGGTCGGCTAAAATAATTAGACTCGCTCGGATATGATTAGGCTCGAATAAATTAATTATTCGGGCTTTGATCCGCTTAAATAAAATTTTCGATCATTCCAAGGCTCGGTTTTAAAAATATAATCGATACTTGTGCTAAATAAATCCTATTAATTAAAAATCGAATAAATTTTCCATGGCTTAAATTTAATACTAATTATTCAATTTAATACAAAAGATAATAATAATAAATGTATCAAATAAAAAAACTTAATATTTATGAAAATAAAGTCGAGCTCCATAAATAATAAGTAATATTATTGGCGTTACAAAATCAACCTTACATTACACAACAAAATACAATAATTAAATCATGAAAAAAAAGTTTTTCAATTGGATAAAGTGATACTTGTAAGCATCAGCAGTTGCAGATGTATATAGTTTTTAACTATAATTTTTAATTCAAGAATGTCTTGTTGAAGATGATTGGTTCGAATATGGACAAATATAGGGCAATTGTTTTTCCTAAATGTGTAGTTACTTTTGAAAAATGAGAATAATTAAATCATACAAACACAAAAATTAATCAACAAGCTGTTCAAGTTCAGCCGTCTTACCCCGAAGCCACTCTCAGTCCCTTTGAATTGTCGGCTGCTGCCCGTCGCTCGATTCCTCAAAGGTACTGCATCTTCCGTTCCTTGCAAATTCCGCACCCGCACACCGGTCTCGCAAGTCGCAACTCTCTCGCCGCTGGCTCTGGATGGAAGATGTGTCGTTCACCAAAGAAAAGAAAAGAGAATTAATAAAATACAGATTCAAAGGTCGAAAATAGAAGGCCTTAGAACGCATCTTTCAGGGGTTCCCTTTGTGTTTATACCTCCGAAAGAAAGAAGAAGAAATGCCGACCTCTCTTTTCGTGTGTTTTAATCTCCCATCGGATCCAAGAAAAACAAGGAAAATGAAATTGCATATATGGTAGTCGCAGAGGCCTGAGAAAACAGGGTTGAGTAGAGGGGCTTGAAACATAGAGTACAAAATCGCTTAACAGAGCTTCAGATATCAGGGTTTTACAAAGACGGGTCTGTTTTGTGCGAGAACTAAGCGTGTGTTGAGTGTGTGAGAAGAGAAGTGAGAGTTGTATAACCTATAGCACGCCGGTTGAATAATTCCGATCGCTACGAGGCACGATGGAGCTGGTTGAGGCGGACTCGGGCTGGATGGAGGTGGACTCGACTGACTCGGTCGCGAACTCGGCTTGACTTGGGAACGGCGGGTTCGAGGTCCAATCGTGGCTGGGACCGCGTGGAATGAATCTGGGTCGAACTCGGCTTGAGCTGCGTGGTGGAGGGGCTGCGCGGACACGTGGGTTGAGCTGAAAACGACGTGTCTCTGCTCGCCGGCGGGAGGCTGGGCTGCGAGGCGTGCGGCTGGCTTCGATGCAGCGGCGTGAAGGTGGACTCGAGCTGAGGCTGCGCGAGTTCTTCCCAGCGGGAGCGAGGGAGTTGGGTTTCGCCGGAAAATAGGTGGTTTGTGGTCGCCAGAGATGGTGATGGCGGCAGCTCGCCGGGGCTCGGAGGTGGTGGCCGACTTGTGTGGTGGGTGGGAAAGAGGTGAGGGAGGAAGAAGATAAGGTGGAGGATAATGTGAAGTGTTTTTTTTTTTGGTATAAAGAAGGAGGCCTAAGCCTAAGGCCATCAGACATTTACGTTCCGTGGGTAAGCCACTCCAACAAGGTCGTGCTGTAACCACGGTCGAACTTCTGATGGTGGGTCGAGGAGCCGCTCACAACCACTAGGACAATGATGAGCTAGAGTCGTCAAGCAATCCGCTGCAAAATTAGCTTCTCTATAGCAATGAGACACTGTCACGTCCCAGTCCCGAAGGAGCAAGTCGCGAATGGCACGAACAATACTACCATGCACCCCAAGGTTTTCTGTTGGCTCTCCTGCGGCCATCGCCACCACACTCTTATTATCAACCTCTACGATAGCCTTGCGATGCCCTAAGTCCCAAGCAAGCAACAGACCTTGGAAGAGTCCCCACAGCTCTGCTCCTGTGATAGAGCAAAATCCAATGTTCATCACGAACCCCCCAAGCCAATGACCTTCGGCGTCGCGAATCAATCCCCCTTTTATTTATAGTAGGTGAAAAAGAGATTAGGGTTTTGTTAGGCTCAAGTCAGACGTGGGCTTGTCAATTGTTTGGGCTTTAAAAATAATCGGGCTTTGCGAACAGGGACTTAAACTTAGTATTTAATGTTCGGATAAAAAAAAAAAAAGAATTGTCGAGATTTGGACTAAATTAATTAGTCGGTCGACTTTAATAAAATAATTGGACTTGAATTTAAAAATCGACAAAGGCTTGATTTTTCAAATAGACTGAAATTAAATCGAATATGGGCTCGATTTATTGAAATGGGTTGGCTAAAATAATTAGACTCGCTCGAAAATGATTACACTTGAATAAATTAATTATTCGGCTACGATCCACTTTAATAAGATTTACGATCATTCCAAGGCTCGGTTTTTACAAATAGAACCGATACTTGGGCTAAATAAATTCGACTTTAATAATTAAAATCGAATAAATCCTCCATGGCTTAGACTTAATATTAATCACTCAATTTGATGCAAATAATAATAATAAACGCATCAAATTAGGAAACTTAATATTTACGAAAATAAAGTCGAGCTCCATAAATAGTAAATAATATTCTGAGCGTTACATTTTATCTCTCTTTGCTCCTCATCTCTCTCTCTCTCTCTCTCTCTCTCTCTCTCTCTCTCTCCAAAAAACGAACAAGGTGGTTGCTGCGACACATTAATCAAAAAAAGTGGTAGTCGCGAGGGCTGCGAATTGTCTGACGCGGGGAAGAAAAAATACGTAAACAACATATAAAGAAGGCAACGACCAGCAGAGCCTGGTGGTCAGTCTGTAGTGACTGAGATGGACGCAGGACTAGTTCTACTGAAGGAAGGCTCAAAGAGGGCCCGTGATCAAAACAACAAAAAGAAAAAGAGAAGAAAAAACTGAAGAGAAAACAATGTGGTGGTATGGGGTGGTGGCTGGGTCATTCTGGTTGAAGGCCGGAGGCCGTGGGGTCGTGTCGTGGTGGCTATGACGGTCGTTGGATTGGTCGGACGTGGGCTGGAGGAGAGCTTGCGGTTGTATATCTAGTGTGTGTGTGTGTGTGTTTTGTATATCTTTTGTATATATTCTGTATATAATGACAAGATTGATTTATACATCTATGCATATTCTTTTTATGTCGACTACCTACAAGAGTATATATTTTGTATATGTTTTCGACAAATATATTGTTTTTAATGTATGTTTAGGTTGACAGTATATTTTTAGTATATGTACATGAGTACGATTCCAGCTTGTTTTATATACTGTAAATATACATGATTAGCTTACGGAAGATAGAGGTTTAGTTTGCTATATTTTTGCAAACATTTAATTAGTTGGTAACAGTTATTCGAGATATAATGCATACGTATACGAAATATATACGTTTAATATACACTATTAACATGATGTGATGTTAAAAAATAAACAAAAAACGGGTCTGACACATTAAAAATACTTGTTTGGCGAAATATGTTTTCAGTATTGTGGGATTTGTGTATATCAAGAAGAAAAAGTCGTATGAAATTCAAATTCATAATTTTTCCTATTTGTATTGAACAAACTCCTAATTAATAGAATATAATGACTTACCATTTTTTATGGAATCCTATTATAGAGATGTGATTTTAGGAAGGTGGCTTACTTTAGTAACGAAAGTTTTTTTATTGAGCCTAAATAAATGCACTTCAATTGGTAGGCACGCAAATAAAATCTCACCTCTCGTATAAGTGAAATATATTTAAAATATTGTGGTAAATAAAAAAATTCACCAAAAACATAGGGCTTTATAACCAATATAATCTAAAATGCAAATAATTTTATTTTTTTTTCCTGAGGGTGGAGGCCATCCTAGCCCATAGGTGGCTCCGCCCCTGAGTAGAATCATCTCTCCCTGCACCCAAGAACGGTCGTAAACCCTACTTCCTCTTTTCTTTCTTTCTTTTTTTTTTTTCAGACTTCTTGGATCGCTCTCTCCGTGCACCAAAGAGGTCGATAATTTTAAATTCTAAAATTTACAAGTTCAAATCCCCATGCATGTTGTGATGGTAATAGAAGTTGGAGAATTTCAAATTATGCTAGATATTTTTTAGTCATTATTCTAAAGGATTTTAAATGACTCTTCAAACATAGTCATTTGAAATCCACTGTTTATTACCGTTGATGACCACGCCGTCCGCGATAATTTAGGTTCATTATCACTGTGAGTCAATACTATCGTGCGAGCTAGATAATTGATTTATAATAGTTTCAACACATCCATTCAAGGAGTGTGCAAGATTATATTTCAAAAATTTTGAATCAAGTGATTTCAAATCCCTCAAAACAAACGTAGCTTAATTGTCTTTTCACAATCGTTCTAGCTTGCATAAGGGTAATCTCTAATGTCAGAAATAGATATTGATGCTTATAGCTTTATCTCAGAAATTTGCAAGTGAAAGCATAATGATCAAACAAAACGGTAGAAGAGTACATATACTCTGCTCACGAGATTATTTTCTTCCCTTTATGAATTGACGGTTTTGCTATGAAGCCAACAGTTGGCTCCATAGTGGAACCAACCTTCTATATACAATAAATAAACCTACCATATTAACAAGATTATATTAACGTTATTTAAGTAATGAGAGAATATGGTAGGTTTATTTATTGTATATAGAAAGTTGGTTCCACTATGGAACCAACTGTTGGCTTCATAGCAAAACCGATTGAATTGATAAGTAGATGCACGTGAGAATATTTGTCCAACTTAAATGATACCCACTTGGAATATTAGGTTCACATAAAGTTCAATGAAATTTGTTCCCGGATATTACTGATTTTTTAATACTACGTAAACTAAACTGACAAACGACAGTCACCAAAATGCAAACTGTTTAAACCTGTCAAGGGCCAACTGCGTTAATCGAGCAAAAGTCATCGAACACAAATGCTACAAAATCAAGTGTCCCACATTGAAAGCAACAGCGAAAATGTCTCCACAAGATGAAAAAACTGCAACTTTCCTATGTAATCTCTAACAATGATGTCAATCTATATGTTCTTTCGATCTTTTCCAGGTTTCGTCTAGTCTGCATGGGAAAATTGTCGACCAATCTCATCAACTTTTAAGGATAGCTCACTGACTGAAAATCGTTGCACTATACATTAGTAGATGAAAAACCGAACACGCCACCAAAATCAATCACGAAATGAATAAACAATTGGCCTAGTTACATATTAAATCAACACATTTCTTCCAATTTCAATTTTAACAAGACTATTTTATTACTACAAGTAATAAAAATTAAGATTTAAAAAGTAGTCATTATTAATAGATCTTTCTTTTTGATAGATCAAACCGCAACCAAAATGACTGAAGAAGAAATGGTTACCTTTCAAAGGCCCATAAAATTGTTAGACCTTTCACTTCCGTATCGAGAGATCTATGTGCAGGTATGCAACACAGGTGACAAAGAAAAGGAAAAATGCAGATGCCAGCATCAGGGGCTCAGCAAGCATGGATATTGGGTTGAACTTGTAATGGACCTGCATGAAAATAATTAAAATAACTGACTAAGAAGCCAAACGAAACATAGAGGAGCATACAACAAAGTAATGAACTCGCGTATATATCCTTTCTCCATTTTGACAATCTAAGTCGAAGGCCAATTGTATGGAAAAGTACATTATTCACTCTTATCTCACCTTTTCCCTTCTCAATTTTATTAGTAAAAATACATTTTTAAAATAAAACTCAATCAACACTACACATTTCTCTATAAAGTTCACTCAATCAGTACTACATTTTTTAAGGGAGGAGAGAGAATTTTCTAATATACTTTTAGAAAAATTAAATTATATTTTCTTCACTTCATTTATTTGTCATAAAAGATTATGGGGGCTTTTGCTTAAATATTGTGTCCTTAGTGTTTACAAATGAGACTCTCAATTTCACGCAAAGGAGTTCGTTCGTAAAAGATTAATGGTATAGTTTCTGGTTGAACACCTCGTGACGATTGGTGCCACATAGACAGCATTGACAGTTTACCTGGAATGGGACATTGTGTTCAGGAACGACATTTTTCTTTTCCAAGACCACTACAGGTCGTCCAATCACATCGAGGTACGAGTACTTTGTCTGCATATATAAAATGCATAGGCCATTGAGCTTCCAAGATATGTATATTTCTCAAACTAAAAAAAATAAAAAGGCAGAAGCCAAAGGTAAACTCTAACAAGCTGAATGCGTCATATACTGGTAGATAAGTGGAGATACTCAAACTCATAATTTTAAAGGCAAAAAAAAAGTCACCAAATTCAAGCACAAAAGATAAACTCGCATCAGATTCAATGGAATTTCACCGGCATCTTTGAAAAAATCTTTAGGCCAAACAAACTCTTAGTTTAAGAGCTACAACAGGCTGATCATCACCATCATACTGATAAGTGATTCAATTTTACCAAGCCGAAATGGAAAACCATAATAATTCTTGATAAGGCAGCTGTACATTGAACAGAGAAACTGAAGTATAAGTAGAAGCATACCTCCAAACTCTGTTTAACTTCAAAAGCAACTTTGACGGAGGGATCCTTTGATCCCTCTGGGAGGACAACCTATATCATAATAATTCTTCATATTAGCTCTTAATTTTCCGAACAAAAAAAAAAAAAGGCAATCGAAGCACACAATCCAGATCTTAAGATGTAGAGCATATAATTTAATACCGACTTTGATTGTCAACTTGTCAACTACAGTGTCCGCAAGAGGGCAGCCAAAACTATAATTCAGGTAACGAGCACCATCATCTGACTCAAAAAGGAAGTCCTGCAGCGGCACTCCATATCCGATCACAAAAGTTGATTTCCAGCCTCCAAATAAAGGATAACGTGGTTCTATTAACAGCTCCGACTACAAGAAAGCAAGAAAGATGGAGATAAGACAATAGGTTACTCTGCTTTTAATGTGATCTCTAAGAGAATATAATTATTACTACTCCATTACGTAAGTCTCCAACAACTACAATTGCGGTTGTGTTTATAATTTTCAATTTTTATTTATATTTAATTTATTTGACCATCTCTCCTCTTGCATTTGCAGTAGGATATCAGTAGTGGAGCCTGATTTTGAGCAACATCTGGAGGAGTAGAGGACAGGGGACTTTAAATCATCCATGATAAGAAATTGCATCTTAATGCTTATTAAGTAAGCAAAATGAACATGGTCCTTATCTCAAAGTCTTTATGTGAAGCGTCTATAAGGGAAAAAGATTGAGATTACCTTCTTGGAATTAACTCTTAATCTTGATGATGATATATTCCCAATATCATCCCTGTAGTACACAGAGTGAACTCGAGGGGGTAGTTCCGCATGAAGGTTCTTGAAAGAAGAGACACCACTAGCAGTGGGCCTTGATTGATAATCAACCCTGTACAAAGAAATCCAATAAAATCAAAGGAGCAAAGACTCAAAGGGTGCGAGTGGATGTAGTTTCATTTTTAAAAAATTCTTCGTTAAAAAATTCTTCCACATGACAGAAATGATGAGAAATCTTTTAAGGCAGAAATTATTTTTTTAGAATGTTACTGGATATAAAATGAAAAAAGTAATGATTAAAGTTGTTTTGATATAAAAACGTAGAATAGTGAATCAATGATCCACAGCTTAGAAATATGTGAATGGATGAATATCGAATACTACAGGGAAATGTGTGGTAGTGATTGCTACTTATTTTAAAAAGCGTAATAAAAAGATCGACGAGAGAAAAACTAAGATGAAGAAATAGTACATTTTTTTAAAATCTTGTATCTAATCACAAAACTCTCTAGTGGAGTGAAAAAATGTAAATTTTTGGTGACCTATCATGCCCAAACTAACTGGTTTCTGCTTAAATTCGTAAAACTTGAAACTCGCATTAGTTATTGTATTACGGTATACCCCGATGATAAGGGAAAAAAAAGGACTAATTCTGTAACCTGCATGTCAAACTTGTGATCACACTATTATATAAATGTGCTAAACAACTTGAAAGAAGTTTTTTGCTCAATTTTCATCCACATAAAAAGAAGTATGCTTCGTATTTAACTCCAAACTCCAAAAACCTATGCAATTGAAAGTTTCCAACCAAAAGTTCTTTATATTAATCCAACCTTGAAAATCCTTTGTGCTTGGCTCCATCGTGGGCCAACTTGTAGTGTTCGGTCACCTGGACATTCCCCCAGTGAGATATTTCTATTTCCCGCTCAAGCTCCTCAACCACAGCAAACGGATGATTGTTCTCAAAGTGAACGATAATGGGCGAGTAAGAATAAGGTTCATGGTCCTCATATGGCCCGTATCTAAGCTCAGTACCACTTCGTTGAGCAGGGTCCACAACTGTGAAGGACTCGACCTTGTTAGTGGGTGTCTTAATCACGGTAGCCTGCTGCTTGATATGATAAGGTGACAATATAATGGCATTGTCATGGTAATGAACCAACTGGGACTCCGACTGGCTTATTTCGGCCGGGAAGGGCTTGAGAGAGTGGGTAAGGATGTAAAATATTTCTAGAGTGGTGGTTTCACCCTTCAATAATTGGTTAAGCAATGAGACTGCATAGTATTTGGTTCCGTTTGGCGAGTCTGGTTGCTCAGCCAAGTTGATTTCAAGAGGAACATGCGATTTCTTCCTCCTCTTCCCAACAGTTGCAGCTGCTTTTACCGACGAAAGATGGTCAAACTGCTCAGGCGGGAAGGCGAGGAGAACCTTTGAAGCTGGATCGTCCCCGATATTTTCGACCTGTGGTAACGAAATCAACCTAATGATTACATATTTAATAAATTTGACACAAAATCCACAAAATTAAAAGTGCAGTAATGCAAGTTAAATTTGACACAAAATCCACAAAATTAAAAGTCAAAAAACTACGTAGATGAGGCACAGAAATAGCGGCCACAGGAACTACTCAATCTTCTCATCCACTAAATGCTATCTCTCTCTCTCTCCTGATACAAATTAAGCTTGATCCTTTAATATAATAGTTCAATTCTGAACCCGAAAAATCACATGGGCCAAGTACATACAAGGCATCCCAATGAAATTTGAAGTACTTCGATTGGAGGGAGATCCAAAATGTTTCAAACTGAAATCAAGAACATTATACAAGAGAAAGGAACATAATTCCTATGGGAAAATAGATAGGTCTTCATAATCAACAATCTCTCACCATTCGGAACTTTCATCTCAGCTCAGTCAACAATCGGTAAGATCTCATTGCAGGAACCCAAAACGATCCCTTCAGTGGGTTCAAAATAACGAAAATAGCGACGATCATACGTATTGTCAACACAAAAGAAAGGAAATTCAAAATTCCAACTTTTAAACAAACCATCGATCACAACGAGAAGTATAACTTTACCAGACTAGCAAATCTAATGAACAGAAAAATGGTTTCTCAAGAGTAAGCTAATCATCCATCTTCCGCTAAATAAAAATCAGAATAAGATTTTTGCAGAAAATAATAAAAAGAGTACCTTCAATGTCAGATAAACCCTAACGATGTGCGAAGTCAAATCAATCTGCACCAAATCAAAAGGCGCTCGTCAAGACAAGAACCGAGGATTCATATTAATGCAGAAAACAGGAAAAGAATTACAGACATTGACAGAATCGAATGCAGACATGAACCTAAAATTGATCATCAATTTAGGTAACAAAGGGAATAAGGATAGGGAAGGAGAATTCACCTGACGCTCAGCTTGGAGGATTTGGAGGCCGGAATGCAGCGATGAAGAGTACGCTGTGATGAACAGAGAGATGGAGACGAGTAAGAGAGAGAAAATTGCTGCTGCCATTGTTGGGCGTCTGAACTGAGGACTGACGATCCTCTCTCTGTGGACACTGGACAGTGATGAGTTTTTAAATGTTATTAAATTTAATTTAAATAAGAAAACAATAAAAAAAAACAATTAAAAACGTAGAAATGAAATATACATATTGTATTAATAATAATAAAATATATTTATATTTTAAGATTATGTAATTAATAAAAAATAAAATTTCTAATTTTAATATATAAACATTGTACTTTTTTTAGAAAAAAATATATTATATATTTGTAGTATAATACATTATAGTTTTATTTATTATACATTTAATAATGTATATATAATATTTTTATAAAGGTATTATTAAAACACCTGTATGCTCTTAACTATAACATAGAACATTGGACTTGCTAATGTCTCAACAATTGGCCCTAACTTCTGTCAATCTCAATATCCATCGACAAAATGGATACATTGATTCTAGGGAAAAAAATATTTTTTCATTCCATAACAAAGACAAATTAAGTTTTTTACACCATCCAATAAAAAGCTAAGTTTTTTACCAAAAAAAATGCGAAAGTTATGCGAAAACTGTCGCATATTCATCGCATAACTGTCTCTATACGAAGGTTATGCGAAAAACTGTCGCATAACTGTCGCATATCAATTGCATAACTGTCGCATATTCATCGCACAATGCCTTTGCACAGTTATGCAATTGATATGCGACAGTTATGCGACAGTTATTCGCATAACCTTCGCATATGGACAGTTATGCGAATATGCAACAGTTTTCACATAACCTTCGCACAGTTACAATTGATATGCCACAGTTATGCGATGGTTTTTCTCACAACCTTCGCATATGGACAGTTATGCGATTAATATGCGACAGTTTTCGCATAACTTTCGCACTTTCTGGGGTGAAAAACTTAGTTTTTTATTGGGCGGTGTGAAAAACTTAACAAGACTTCAAAACAGGGTGAAAATATATATTTTCACTTGATTCTATAGGTGACAATGGGGCCCATAATAAACAAAACGACTGAACAATCAATTGGACCCTTAACGAGCTTGAGCTAGAGTTTTTAACGAGTTTATAGTTGAGCTCGAACTCGACTCGTTTATTAATATTAAGGAGTCGAGTTTGAACCTTAACGGGCCGAACTATATAAACATATAATATCATCTTTCCGAGCCTTATCGAGCTGAATTGAGCTTGGCTCGTTAACTGAACGAGCTTTAAATGAGCTCGGGTTCACGAGCTCGGTCGAAGTATCATGTGAACAACAATAAAAAAAATTACTATAATATGATATATTAAAAATGATTTATAATTGAACTTGATTATATCGTCTTAATTTAATTGATCAAGTTTTTACTATTTAATTAATTGATACATATCCCTAGGGACTTATACAAATTAATACTATGTGTGAACTGTAAAAAAAAATTCTAAAATGAATGATAAACTTGAGCAGCTATTCGTGGACTTTAAGCACAAAACCCGGGAGCATGATTTTGAAAGTTCTTTATTTTTTTTCTCATTTTATTCTATTATATATATTATATTTCCTTCCGCATGAAAGTAAATAGTTAGAAAACTTTTTCTTTTTTTAAATAATAAATGAAAGTTACATTTTCAATGTTATCAAGTTTGCAGAATCTTTACAAATTAATTGTGAATCTTGCACGAGTCAAATTTAGCAATAGGGTTAAGTAACAAATTTATCTCTATAACATAGGGTGTAAACTAGCTTGATCTCGGGTTCTTAACGAGCTTATAATTGAGTTGGAGGTTGACTCGTTTATCAATATTAAGAAGTCGAGTTTTAAACCTTAACGAGCCGAATTATATAAACATACATAAATATCATCTTTTCGAGCCTTGTCGAGCTGAATTGAGCTTGACTCGTTAACTGAATGAGCTTTAAATGAGCACAAGTTAGACACCTTTATGAAACAAGTCGAGTCGTGCTCACGAACAACTCATTTAGTTGAATTGCTCTACTATCACACAACTGCATAGAAGGACCAATATTCTTGTTAAAAACTAGAATTTGACCATATTAATTATTTCTTTTATTAAATATTTTGAGAATTAGGTATGTCAATTATTGTAAATAATTTACTAATATTTTTACAACCTTAAAAAAAATGGTGAAAATTTTTTCATGTTTAATAATTTGTTGTATGGGGATGACGGTAATTAAGAGAAATGCGTGACTTTTTCTTTTTAATACAAAGAAGGAGGCTGAAGCCCAAACTACTACACTAAACTAGACCTCGTCGCGGGTGGGACATTCATATAATGTCGTGCTCAAGCCAAGTGCCCATCCCTAATGGAGGTGAAACCAACTGTTGCAATGAATTGATCTTGCACTATATAAATTTCACATCATATCTTTACTAGGTATTATTGGGCTTAGGATTCGACTGATGTGGGTATTGTGTGGCAGTGGGTCCCGCGTCATTTAATTGAGCTGTCAGGTTATTTTTGTCCGCCCATTGAGACCTGATTAATTTATCCCAGCTTTGACATCCCAAATTTGTCCTCAAATTTGGCTACGAAATGACAATTTTACCCCTTCATGTTTTGTAAATTACATATATAACAATATATAATGATCCTGAAGGCCAAAATGACATGTTGCTCCATTCTTCTTTGCCCTAGCTCACTCCGCTCGTATTTCACCATTTTCTTCTTCTTTTTTATTTTTTATTTTTGTTATTTTTTAGAGTGGCCGATTTTAGATACGAAATTGCAATCCAATTATACGAAATTTGTAACACGTTCATAGGGAAATCGAGTTGTCCCTCGTGTCGTGCAATAGCCGTTCTTTTCGCCCCCGACCACAAATCGGTTACTGCAGGGACGACAAAGCTCGAGAAAGTGGCTTCTGCAGGGTCGAAAAGTAAGCTTCATTTTCTCACTAAATCGCAGATGGAAGGGTTCAATTTTAGGGTTCATGAATTTTGGGCGATGTTATTCTCATGTCCGACCCTCCAATTTGCTATTGAACCCTAATTGTTGTTTTAAACAATTTCAAGTTCATGTTTTATCAAAATTTTTCCTTTTTTTGCGATGATAATGGCGTCGTCGTCTTTTCTAGTGTTCGACAGATCAGAGGGGTGAGTTTGTAGGGGTCGACGAGTTTTGGGCAACAAAGAGAAAGGCAGCGATTTTGAAGAAATCAACAGATTTTTAGTGGAAATAGAAGGAGGGTAAAATTGGCATTCCATAATTTATCATATCAGGTAAATTAAGCTAGTAAACATAGGATGGGATTCAAAAAAAAAAAAAAATGACAAATGCTGACTGAGTGGACTATTAGTTTTATCCTATCATATTCCATCAACCCTAGTAAACTAGGTCTTAATGTTGATTGTGTTAAAATTGGCAACATATCTCCTTGACTGCCTTCAATGTTGCAGCCGTTACAAGTTCTTGAAATATATCCCAGATTTTTTAAAATAATTTAATTAGTTGCCCTAATTATCAATAATTTATTTTGATTCTAAACTTTGATTTTTTTCAACATATTTATTGCGAAAAAATCATTATGTTTTTTTTTTTTTTTTTTTTTTTTTTTTTTTTTT